ACAATCGCCTCAGATACTTTGGGGTATGCTGAGATGAGACAAAGTGATCATGTTGTGCACGTGATCCGGTCACCTTGATAAAAAAATTAAGATGATATTACAACAAGTAATCGAAATGGATTTTGTTATCCATTAATCCTATTTAGTAGCCAGATCGAGTTCTTGATTTGAAATTGTCTGGAGGAATGAATATAAGGAGAACTCAAGTTAGGTATAGGGAAATACCTCAACTAAGATCTGTACGGTATTATTTGTTTATAAAGGATATGACATACGCCCTAAGAATGAGAGAAAATATTGTAGTGCGTATTTCATACCACGTGTGCTTTTACGATCAATATTGGGTAAATGAGTGAATGGATCCCTGTTTTCTAATTGTGTGAGACCTTGAGNTCAGGTTTATATTACCTCATATATACCCTTATGACTGATGACTGTTGCTTGAGATTTTATTTCGGTGGTGCTACTTTAGCTTGTCAGTTACTATGATTGATTCGGTTTGATGGGACATGTCTAGGAAAGCAGCTGTTTTAAAGTTGAAGGATTCAAGTAGGAAAGGAAAACTATTTTGACCAACATTTTTATTTGTATAGCGAGATGTAATGTTCCTCTAGTTGAGCTACTATATATCCCTAACATGTTTATAGTATTGTGGGCTCTAATATTACTCGTTGGTCGCACGATCTATTTGTCGTATGAATTTTTGTGAGATAGATCTTGAAAAAGATCTAATGCCTGACATTCGTTCTCCCTTATGGTTCGGATCAAGCCCTTCATGTGCGAGTGGGAGATGTTAGAAAAATACGGGTCGTTGGTCGCTCATGTGGGATGACCTGACCCACAAGTTATTAAAAGGGTTGGAGGGAGTTTGAACTTGAAATTCAAACATACAACTCTCAAACCATCCTTAACTCCTTATAACCTTCGATGATTATGCATTGGAAAAATAGGGAAAGAATTGGCATGAAAAATGAGGGAAAATCGTATGAAAATTTACACCAAAATTGGAAAGTCCTTAGAACCATATTTTGGACATGAATCTCACAAAAATTGACACTTGGATTGTGGATAATAATCATCTTCCATTGTGATCAGGATTGGGACCATTGGAGAACAAGAAATGCAAATTTTGGAGCTTTGAAATGCAAGGTGATTCAACCATCAAAAGATTTTGGAATTCATTATTTCAAGTAAGTTTCTTGACCCGAAATTCACGTTAAAGCATGCTGCGAATTCTTACACGAACAAAGAACAATATATCTTTGTCACTTTCAAGTTAAGATATGTTCGTTTATTATGTACTCGCCAAATATATATATTTTCGTTTATTAACGCCGTCAACAAGTTAGGATACCAAATATTTTATATTGTTACCTGTTGCATGTAAATGAAGTGATGTGGCGGTCGAGCCAACTCAACCTCTATACAAGTGAGGTAGTCGCCTGAAGCCTACATTTAGATAAGGTCCCATATTTTAAGAAAATTCCATTCCAAAACATTTTATCAACGAAATTTTCAACTCAGATTTTGTCGTTGGTGATAATTAAAAAATTATTTTGACAAATTGTATTTATCGACGAAAATTATAAAGCTAATAAATGACATCTATGAAAAATTCCACAAGTTGTAACAAAATAACATTAAAAATAATAATTCAGCATAGAGTTTTTTTATCATTGAAAATTCTAGAAAAATATTATCTAGTATATTTAGTTGGTCGATAGAATAGTCGTCAATAAGTAAAATTAAAATAATTTTTTTTATAGAAATTATGTTTATTGTTAAATAAGAATCAGAAAAATAATTTCAGACGAGCAAGCTTTCACTTAGTATTATTAGAACAATAAATATTTGAAATGAATTTAATTTATCAACAGAAATATTATCAATAAACAACATAATTAATTTATTAATAAAAAATCACTTGGAATCAACTAACGGCTTTAATATTATAAATAGATAACACAAAAATGAAATATTAATAAATAAAAAACTATAAAGGAAAAAAATAATTTTTTGTTCATTAATCCATGATGGAAGCACCGTCCTTGATTTTCGATACCATCACAGACGATATTTTCATCTATTATGACTAAAGGATGTGTGTGGGTGATGACTAGTGATGTTACTTTCAGTAATTCTGTCCAAATTACCGAAACATATTGACTCTTGTCAGATTCCATATCGTTGATTTCATATGTGATCATATTTCACGATTTTAATTTTTTTATGATAATTCTTAAAAAAAATCCCTTAAGGATTTCATCTAACGCTTCCAAGTTTGAGCCACCTCCTATTATAACCAATAAAATATAAAATGAAACTTATAACTATGTTTTTCCTGACTCAGCTGAGTTTGCATGTTGTCAATTTTTCTAGTGGTACAATGTTGAAAATTATTCAAAAAAAATCCTTCCACAGAAGGAGACAATATGATACTTGAGCAATTGATTGAATACATTGAATTAGAATTAGTTAAGATGATACTCTTCAAATCAGTACATTTAGAGCCTGTTTGACAATCATTATCGTAGGAAAAAAAGAATATTGAATAATGATTTTTAGGAGAATGTGTGGTTAAAAAGTAAGGAAAAGTTTTTGATATACGTATAGAATATTTTGTTGTGTAAATATATGTTTGAAAATGGTCTCCAGTAGCAAACTATAAAATAAAGTAATAAATGTCAAACATGCACTTGGTAAAACGATTGCATTGATTTGAATATGGAAACTCAGAATGTAAGGTTAAAATGGGTTGCTGATGGTTTTGCATGGCTGTATGACAAACTATTGAGAATAAGAATTGATAAGTGATTTTTCAACAACAAAAAAATAAAGTAGTAAGGAAAAATAATATTTTAAATAGAATAAAAACGTAGATTATGTGGTAGACACTTTAACCGCTTAATAAATAAATAAGATTCTTCCGTTACACGTTAGGTCGGCCTCAGCATGTTACACATGACTTCTTAAGTCGTTACATTACGCACGTCTCTTCTCAAATTGTTAAACTACACACACGTTCTTACGTGTCAAGTTAGTATCCTAGGCTTGCACCATTTGTAAATTATGTCTCTTGTAATCCAGCCAAATTAAATATCCTGAAGGATTCTCTCAGATTTTCAAGTAAAAGATGTAGTAATAACTCAATCAATTGAATTTATTTCCCTTTTACAGGAGACCATTTTGGTCATTTACTCAAGTTTTTTAATGATGATCTTTCTTGGTATGATCTGTTCTCCCCTGAATTCGAGGTTGAGAAGCCAGCAAATTGGACAGCCGAAGAGAACAAGATGTTTGAAAATTCTTTGGCTGAAGTTGATCCAGACAATCCTGCCTTCATTGAAAATGTAGCATCTTGGATTCCATGGAAATCTATTGATGAAATCAAAATTCACTACTAAGCCTTAGTTGAAGATGTAGAGGTGATTCAGTCTGGCGTTTACCCTATTCCCAAATATGAAACTGATGATCAGGACAACCGAGATAAATTAAAAGTTAGCAATGAAAAGGAATCTCCATCACCGGCTACTAAAAAGACATGCAATGGCCAGCTACGCCGAAGGGGAGTTCCATGGACAGAAGATGAACACCAGTATTTTCTTACGATTTAGCTTCATTTTTATTATTTTTTCCTTAATTATTCGAATATAGTATTTTACAATTAATTTCTTTCCTTTTTGAGGAGATATTTAATTTTAACCAAATATGTAGATTGCATGCAAGATCTTTAAGTTTGATTTTCTTATTTCTTGGTTTTTCAAATTTTTTTCCCCAAATCAAAGTATGATGAGGGAAAAGTATTTATTAATATCTAAATGAAATGAAATAGAATACAAATTTTAGAGGGGACATACAACCGTCACCCTTTTTTTTTGTTCCGGAATCACACAGGTACTTTTTGGACCCTCTCTCTCTCTCTTTGATTTGAATTAGTTGAACTTTGAAATAAAATGTATTTCAATAACTAAGAGTTATATTCGATTGATATTCATACAAGGAAGAATGAACTCATATTTATACAAGTGAAAAGAATGTTCTAGGCCTACAAATCTCAACTGTACAGGTGCAGAGGAATGATCACTGATTTGCAGTGGGAACATACTTCACTTCCAATTCCTTTCCAAGGACCGTGTCTCTTATGAAGTGTATATCCAATTCTATATGTTTGGTTCTTGCATGAAATACAGGATTGGGTGCCAATGCTCCTGCACTTAGGTTATCACACGAAATGATTGGATTTGAAGTTTGTAATATCTTAAGTTCTTTAAATAGAGATTATATCCAGGCTATTTCTGATGTAGCAAAGGCTAAGCCTCTGTATTCTGCCTCTGTACTGTTTCTGGCAACAACATGTTGCTTTTTGGATGACCAAGACACCAAGCTGTCTCCTAAGTAAATACAATATGCTGCCACGGACCTTCTATCATCTGGACAGGATGCCCAGTCTGCATTTTAGTACCCACTTATCATCAAATTTTCACTTATTTTGATCCATAGTCCTTGGTTGATTGTGCCTTTCAAGTATCTTAAAACTCTTTTCATTTCTTGCTAGTACACTGAGGTTGGTTCCTGCAAAAATTCACTAAGTTTGTTGACAGCAAAGATTATATCCGATCTGGTATGTGACAAGTACTGCAGCCCTCCAACAGCACTCTTGTAAGTGGATGGATTTTTAAGAGTTCAACTTCAGTTTTAGACATAGTTCTCCCAACTGCACTAGGAGTTGAACACGGGTTGAGGTTTTGAAACTCAAATTTCCTGAGCAACTCTGAAATATATCATGATTGAATTAGAAGAAGTCTTGTACTGTGTCTGTGAACTTCTATCCCTAAAAAGTGATGAAGTTCGCCCATATCCTTGAGTGCAAACTTTCTGAAGTTCATTTATGAAATTCTGAAGCAAATCATTGTTGTTGTCAGTAACTATTATAAATGAGAATGAAGATGATATTCTTTTCTGTTGAGAAGTAAAAGAGAGAGGTATCTGCTCTTGATTGGTTGAACTTCCAATCACTTAGGGTGTTCTTCAACTTGTCATACCAGGCCATTGGTGCTTGCTTAAGCCCATATAGAGCCATTTCAAGTTTACAAATGTAATTTGGCTTTGTTTTATCAACAAAGCACTTTGGCTGATGCATATATACCGTTTCCTCCAATTCCCCATTTAGAAATGCATTGTTGATATCCACTTGCCTTATTTTCCAATCCTTTGAGGCTGCAAGAGTGAAAATAATTCTTAGTGTAGACGTCTTCAAGACAAGGCTGAAAGTTTTATAGAAGTCTACTCCGGGAGTTTTATGGAAACCCTTTGCTACCAACCTTGCCTTGAATCTTTGGAAGGATCCATCAGAATTTTGTTTCAATCTGAATACCCATTTATTTCCTACTATATTGTAAGATGAAGATGGTGGCACTAATCTCCATGTTTTATTTTCAATCAATGCATCGTATTCTTCAATCATTGCCCTCTTCTAATTTTTATCTTCCCAGGCCTCTACAGCACTTTTAGGTTCTATCTTATTAAACTTGTTCTCTATTGCCTGACTAGAGAAGGCTTTGGGTTTGAATATCCCAGCTTTTGGTCTTGTTATCATGGAGTACCCAGTTTTCAGCCTTTCATCATTGTTTCCTGATGAATCATGAGTTTCACCAATGCTTTGATCTCTTATCTCAGTGTTTCCATTGTTAGGAGATTCATCACTTTGCTCATATTCAATTTGATTATTGAAATTATCTCCTTCAATTGTAGTGTTGGACTCATTAGGAGGTGACTCTGTTGAAGCTGCAGCTTCAGAAGGAGTTATATCAACTGAATTATTACCAGTGAAGGAGTTGGAATGTCGAGAGGGTAGCTGGAAGTAGGAGACCACAGTTTGCTAGTCAGTAGATTTTAATTTATTTCTTGCAAGAAAGATTGACTCGAATGGGAATTCAGACTCATTGAATATGACATGTCTAGATATGTATGTTTTACCAGTAGGACTAAGGCACTTGTAGCCTTTGTAGGATAAACTATAGCCTAGGAAGACACATTTTACTAAGTGAAAACTGAATTTGTGAGTTTGGTAAGATCTTAGGCAGGGATAACATGAGCATCTAAAGATTTTGAGAGAAGCATAGTCAGCTTCTTTATTGTACAAAACTTGGTTAGGAGATTTCATTTGAAACACTTGTGTGGGCATTCTATTTATAAGATAGGCTGGGGTTTGGAAAGCTTCCCACTAGTATCTTAGTGGAATTTTGGCTTGAGCTAGTAAAGTTGGGCCAATTTCTGTAATGTGACGGTGTTTTGTTTCAACCTTTTCATTTTGTGTTGATGTGTGAGGGCAAGAGTGCCTAAATTCAATCCCTGATTGTGAAAGGTGGTTAGCAAAGCGTCTGTATTCTCCTCCCCAATCAGATTGAAGGATTTTAATTATTTTGTCAAACTTATTTTCAACAAGTTTTTGGAGTTGAGTGTAGATGCTTAAGGATTTTGACGTGTTTTTCATTAGGTATATCCAGGTATATCTATTGAAATCATCTACAAATGATATGTAATATTTGAAGCTAGAGGTTGAGAAAATAGGTGAATGCCCCCAAACATCGGTGTATATAAGTTCTAGAGGGGGTTTGGCATGCGAGATAGATGCATTGAAGGGCAGTAAGTGGGATTTTCCATACGGCATCACAAAATGAATTGAATTGATTTATTCTCAAGTTCTGATTACATCCTTTGAGTACTTGAGACAACATCTGACTAGATGGGTGCCCAAGCCTCCTGTGCCAAATACTAACTAGAGAATTTAAGGACTCATGGCTTTTGACTTTACTGGACTCGACCGAACATACTGAATTGCGGAGGTTATTTGGATATACTAATTTAGGAAAACTTGACTGAGGTTTGAAGTTGGAGTTGGGAGGTTCCAGCTAATACAATCATTCTTTAAGCTTTCCGTGCGGCATCGTTCTCCTCGTTAACTTGTACTCAACACAACAATAGTTAGAAGGAAATTCCATAAACACGTGATTATCATAGCTAAGTTGTGACATTTATAAGGTTCTTCTTAATTTCTGGAACATGCAACAGTTTATCCAAAAGCAGATGTTTATAAGTCATTTTGGCATTCTAGTTGTGCCTATGTGTGAAATATTAAATTTACTTCCATTGCTAACCATAATTCTTTCCTTACCAGAGTACTTATTGGCTTGACTGAGGTGTTCATCATTTGAAGTGACATGGTTGCTAGCTCCTGTATCAGCAAACCAAGCTGGGTCACTGAGTGTGTCTGGTGAGGCAATAAAGGCTGATGGCGTTTAATTTTTGAAGTTGTTTTGATGAGGTGCAGCAGATCCATTATAGTTCTCATCATATCAGTAGTTACAGACATTTGCCTTATGTCTAATTTTTCCACACACTTGACACGTAGGTAGATTATTGAAATTGAATCTACCTCTGTTTCTGCCTCCTCTTCTACCACCTCTATAGTTGTCACTGTATTGTGATCATCCACCATTGTAAGAATTGTAGTTTCTGCCAGAGTAGCAGTTATTTGAAGACTTTTGAGTAAAATTTGTAGAAGACTGATTTAAGTTGATTCCTGCGATTTCATTCTTAATAGCATTAATGTGTTCAAGTCTACTCTCATAAGTCATGAGGGTAGATTGAAGTTCCTCCCAAGAGATGGACTCCCTGCTATTAATTTGTACAACAATGGGTGTGTATTCTTCATCTAAACCAGCCAGAATTTGAGTTACCAAATCAGAAAGTGGTATAGTTGTTCCAGTAACTTCTAGATTACTAGCAAGAAATTTCACCTTACTAAAGTATTGATCAATACTTAAGTTGTCTTTTCTGGTTTTCTGAAGTTCACCAATCAGAAATGTAATTCTGGATCTATTTTGAATGCCGTAGCTCTCATTGATTGCAGTCCATAGTTAAAAGAAACTTGTAGATCCCATTACTCTCAGTGCAATTTCAGGAGTCATCGTGGCATAGAGCCATCCCATGAGTAGCTTATCAACAGATTTCCATTGGTCAAATTTCGAATTAGATGTCATCTCTACATTAATCCCTGATTCTCCAGTAACTTGAGTACTGATGAACTCTAATAGGCACACCTTGGTTCCCAGTAGATATCCTTCCAGGTTGTGGCCTTGAATAATGGGTAGTATCATATTCTTCCATAGAAGATAGTTATCTCTGTCAAGCTTGACAGAGGGTGTTTGGGTGAGATTTATACCAAACAGAGTGTGGTGTGTGCTGTCGGAGGCACCCAAAAGTAATATCTTAACTTCTAAAACTAAGGTAGTAGTGGAAGTAAGGGTCGATCCCACGAAAAGTGTGTAATTCAATATTTTATGCTTCGTACAATGATTGAGGGGTTTTTGTATGAAAACAATTGTAAATAACGCAATCAATGACAATGAAAAAATAAATTACTGAAAACAATCAAAAGACTAACCTTGGTCTAAGTCCACATCCACCGTCAGAAATCCACAATTGATCATAGATGTAAAGATAATTCAATTCATATTTTGAATATTCTCCGTTGGAATTATTTTCCTACTCTCCTTAATTTTAGTTAGTTAGAAACCAGCGTTCTAATTAATCATAATTATTAAATAACCCC